TACTTGTACTTATGTCAACAGTGGTTTGATGCACCTACGATGTATCCACTGTTGTTATCTACAAGTGGCTTGTAGTCATTTGCAGGGGACCGCTGTATCAGCTACGAGTTCCTAGGAGTATTCGTAGGAGAACCCTTGCTTTTGTATTGAAACCACCTTTCACCAATCTCAGGTGGTCCACTGATTGCATTTTGTAGAGACGGATCATATTTGATACGGTCTTTTAAAGATGCCCGTAGGAAAGTCATTTGCACCAGTACCATATCGGCGATTGTACTTGCTTGCAAGGACGGATCTTCTACTATCAAGTAGTAATGCTGCCTTCTCAATCTACAGGCAATATTGCTAGCATTGGAGGTTTTAATGGTGTATTTGGGGGACATACGCATTAAGCAACCATTCGTTGTCCTTGTGAGTACATTGCATTTAACTTTGTAGGAGCTATTGTAAGAGTTCGACATTTGTTTGACACTGAACTGTCACTTCTTGTCATTATGTCGCCTGATAGTTCTTGCATCTATAATTTCATATTTGACTTGATTTGAATTTAGTTTCAACTTTGATTTATTTCATTTGAACTTGATCTTTAGGAGTCATTTGAATTTTGTTCAAGTTCAAGTCCACAGTCCATGAGCCCTCTGTTCTTGTTCATTTGAGTCCCAACTTTTGTTCTTTTTAAGTTCAAACAGGTCCGAGCGTAGCAATATTTCACCCGAAATTTCGGCAGCCTCCCGACGTCTCCCCCGTTTAGGGGAAAACTACGAGAAACTGGGCCTTTCCCACCACGCGCAATAAAGGCGTGTATGGTAGGTGTCCTCTGACGAGGACACCGCGGCCGTGATTTTTTGTTCCTCCCACCACGCGCAATAAAGGCGTGTATGGGGTCTTTGATGGTACCTGTTTAAATGACACAATTTGCTTTCCCCCCGCTCGGGGGTACTTATAAGTGACCCCGCCTCGCCGTAGGTGCCGCACTGGGGTCCCTTCCCACCACGCGCAATAAAGGCGTGTATAGGTGGTTTTCAGGTGCGCCACGAACGCCGAAGTAGAGTTTAGGCGATTGCTCGCTTCGTCGTAAGCATCAGACCGGCGTCCCATCCCATCACGCGCAATAAAGGCGTGCATAGGAGTTTTTCCGGTCTGCTGCAAACAACGACGTGAGAATCTAAGTTTAGAGAGTTCGTACCTTCGCGGGCTTCAATGGTACCTGTTTAAAAATGCAGTTTATTTTCCCCCCGCTCGGGGGTACTTATGAGTGACACAATTTGCTTTCCCCCCGCTCGGGGGTACTTATAAGTGACCCCGCCTCGCCGTAGGTGCCGCACCGGGGTCCCTTCCCACCACGCGCAATAAAGGCGTGTATAGACGGTTTTCCGGTAATTTATTTTAATAAAAACTAATTATTATTAAAAAAAAGTTAAATATAATTAAAGTATTCAATTATAATAATTATATTTAATTATAATTAATTATAACTAAATAATAATAATAATAATATATAATATAATATAAAATAAAAATCCCTCCCTCACCTCTCTCTGGCTTACAGGATTTGGCCGAAAACCGTGAAAGGGAGAAAGTTACCTTCACTGTAAGTGAGCTCCCGTGGTTGCTTCGATTAAAATGCCGCAACTTCCAATCCGACAGGGATAGAACGTCGGAGGAGGAGGTGAAGTCGGCGGCAAGTAGAGAGGTAGGGTTCGGTGCTTCCCTCTCTCTCGGCTTCTCTGGATCGGACAAAGGAGAGGATGGGACTCGGGTAGGGATTCGGCTGGGCTTCGGGATGGAGAGGTGAGGGTCGGAGGTGCAGCGTCGGCGGAGTTCCGACGTGGGAAGTGGAGATCGGAGGAGGGAGGAGGTATCGGCAGTGAAAGCAGCTACGAGAGTTGAGATCGGGAGCTCGTGTGTGTCCGAAGAAGCTGAGTGATCGGCTTCGTTTTATAGCCGCGAATGGGAGGCGATCGAACCGGTTCGCAGGATTTAGGCAGGATTCCCGCAGATTTTTTCGGAGAAACGACGCAGACGGCGCCGAACGGCAGGATTCGCGGAGGCTTTCGTGGATCCGATGGGTATGTGCCATAGGATTTCTGCGTTGCTTTCTTCTCCCTTTCATTCCTTTGGTTATTGTTTAGAGGTCAACAAATAGGTAAGGCGTCTCAACTCACTGAAGGAACTATTGAGCATGCAAACAAAGTTACTTCAACTAAGAACCCCTTATCCTTACTCTAATAATATGAAAATCTTTCTCCTCGTCATAATATGGAAATCGATGGCACTACCAAAAGAAAAGTAACTAATAAGTTGTAGATGGATATTTATTGTAAAGTACAAATTCAATGACTGATTAAAAGAAAGTACGAAGTTTGAATAATGGCAAAAGCTGCACTTAAATAAATGTTATTTATTACCTTGAAAATTTTCTCTTGTCACCAAAATACATTTTTTAGTTGTTTTATTAGTGATAGTTAACAAGGACTAAAAAATACAACAATTGGATGCGTAGAATGTCTTCTTACATGTTGATACATAGGAGGAGAGATATACGGAGGTTCAAGGAGAGATATACGAAGGTTCAACTAGGGTTTGACTTAAAATATACATAAACTTAAAAGGCATCATATTGATTGAAGCAATCTCCAAGACATGGTTCAAAAGATTCGCTAAATAATACTCGATATGATATACAAACAAAATTAATGCGACCATATATTATTTGTGAAACAAATGACTTAAGATGGATTCTCAACACTAGTAGTTCATGTTAACGACATCATCATAATAAGTATTTATTTAAAAAATATGGAGATTTTAAAGAAAAGGTTGCTCCAAAAATTTGAAGCCAAAATATTAGATAAGCTAAAGTACTTCCTTGGCATCGAGGTTGCAAACTCTCCTTAAGGGATTTTATATCATAATAGAAACATATAACAAACCTATTAAAAGAAACAAACAATTTGGGATGCAAGCCTTTGAAGAGCCCATAAAATTTAATCATAAACTTGGAAATACTCTAAAAGACAACTATAAAAAAACCTTCTATCAAACACATGTGCGAAAACTAAACTACTTATCACATATTATACCTAACATTACCTTTGTTGTTGGTGTGGTAAGTCAATTCATGAATAATCCTTAAAACTCACACCTTTTTGTGTTCCATATCGAATTTTGCAACATCTTAAGGAACTACATGAAAGAAAATTCCTTCTATCAAACACATGTGCGAAAACTAAACTACTTATCACACATTATACCTAACATTAGGTTTGTTGTTGGTGTGGTAAGTCAATTCATGAATAATCCTTAAAAATCACACCATTTTGTGTTCCATATCGAATTTTGCAACATCTTAAGGAACTACATGAAAGAAAATTTTATTTGAAAGGGGTAGGATTTTACAGTGATTATGTAGAATCTATGGTTGAAAGGAGATCAACTTAAAAATATTGCAAACTATAAGGAAACAACCTCATGATGTTGGGAAGCAAAAAAATCAAAATGCAATGACAAGATCTAGCATATAAGTCTAATTTAGATCAATGACGTTAAGAATCCACATATTATTATGATTGAACATTAGCTTAAAAGATTTAAATGTTAAATCGAAAGGTCCTATGAGGCTCTATTAGATTGCACATAATTTTATACAATATAACCAACAAGACATACTGAATTAGATAGGCATTTTACAAAGGAGATGCTACATTGTGGCCTAATTTGTATTCTATTCATCACGACAAATGGGCAATTTACAGACATTCTCACCGAAGAATTTATCAGGAACAATATTTTAAAAAATTAGCATGCAAGTTCGAAATAGATAACATTAATTCATTTGCTTCAAATGGAGAGAAAAAATCAAAGTCCATCAATTTCACTTCCACCAATGCTCCACCGAGCCAAGTAATCCTCCATCTTCCTTATTCACTTCATGCCATCTTAGTGATTCATGAGATTATTAGTGTCACCTCATAAATCCATAAATTATTGTAATTATTATTTCTCATACTCTTTTCACATAAAACGACGGCCTTCCGATGACATGGTAAAGAGAGTAGATGTATTAGATTTGACTAATGTTAAAGAAGGTAGGCGTAGACCTAAAAATACTTGGTTAGAAAATATTAGAAATGACCCTTCATGATTAGATTTGAATGAGAATTTGACTATAAACAAGACACAATGGAGAAAAAAATTCATGTAGACAATCCCACGTAGTATGATAAAGGCTTGATAGTGTTGTTGTAGTTGTATTTCTCATACTGTTCAATCCATCTGAAGAAAGAATTTTAGGATTTTGGTGGTGTATGAAGAGAAAAATGGTGAGAAATGTTATTTTGAAAATGACTTTAATGAATTTATTTGGTGTGGGTTGAAATTTGTAGAAAACATTAAATTAAAAATTTTGGGCCAATCTAGGTGATGTATACATGTAGGAAAGTTCAAAGTGTCTGAAATTCGAAAGCAATTCATCGTGGAGGTAAAGTATTTGATTTCTAACTCAGAAAGAAAGTATTTAGTATTTTTCATGTACCTTACACCGCCACCAGTTTAGCGTGTTACTCATTAGCAATTCTACATAGTATTAAATAGAATTACATATTGCCAAATATGTTGGAAAAATCCATGTTTTTATGCATCAGAATTCATGCATGAGACTTGCATGAATTCAAATATGGTTCAAATCTTGGTTCAAACCAAATTCAAACTAGGTTTGAACCCATGCCCGAACACTAATTCAAAAGGGTTCAGACCAAGTTCAAATTCGATTTCAAATCAAGTTTAACTTTGAGCACATTCAAATTAATTTCAAACACATAGACTTCAAAAAAAATAATTCACAAATACAAGTTATAGTTCATTGATGGTGATTTCATCCCAAAAAAACTTCCAAACATATTTATCCAAAAAAATAAACAGCAGATGTAATTTTTTAATTACGTGAATTATAAGCCATATAAAGTCAAATTACCCAATCAAAATGACCAAAAATATCTCACCATTTCCACCGCACCTACTGCATGGCAAAGGATCCCCCTGCGAGAGAAAAAAAAAACTAATAAATCACACAAACAATAAAATAAAATTATTACATAAATTGGAATATAAAGCACCTTCAACCCTAGGAACAGAGACAGCGCAACGGCCGCAATGACACTAACGGAGACAATGAGTGTCTGCGTATCGATCGTCCGGTCTCCACCATAGACGTAGGCTCTGCATCGGCGGTGTAACCTCGGCGGCCGGCTGGCAGCTGTAGACGCTGGCGGCGCAGCGATCGAGAACGACAGGGCTTCAGGCTTTCGGATAGGGTTGAGGTGGACAGAAGAAGAGGAGAGAATAAGAAAAGGGAGAAGAGTCGGAGGAGAGCACGAGAGCTGAGGAAGAGCGCGGCGAGGCGAAGAAGAGAAGGCGGCCATCAAGAGTGACTGGCGAGGCAGCGAAGTATAAAAGACTGAGCTCTGGGGAGCGCCGGTTTCTCGACGGTTTTTCGCCTCTTCCGATTGGGTAGGTATCGTCACCGTTAAGTGAATGCTCCGCGCTGCAGCACCAATACGGTTGGATTTTTTTTTTTTGGAAAAATTAAGGCAATCATCTCTTTTTTTTTTTTCAAGGCAATTATCCTTAATTTCATTAAAAAATGAATACGTTACAGAAGAGATTACAATAAAAAAAGTCAGAAAATAAAAAAAAAACTTATAAATCCTGAAAATAGAATTAGGTAGTACATCTTTTTTATTGCATTCTAAGTCATCCTTATAGTATAAACATCTCTAGCTCAATAAATTATTATACCAAAAAACTATTTTATAAAACAGTAAAAAAACTTTGACAAACAAAAGTTGTTTCAGAGAAAATTTGGTTTTCAATTGCCGAAGTAGTTGCTCTATTATACAGGAATGATTTCTTGTAATGGAGCAGGTCATCAACATATATAAGCAAGAAAATCTGAACATTGCCTTTGACATAGAGAAGAAGATAAGGGTCTGCTTTGCTGAAATGAAAATCAAAGTTAATGAGGAATGAAGTTAGCTTGTTGTGCCATTCCCGTGGGGCTTATTTAAGGTCGTAAATGGCTTTATGTAATTTGCATACATATTTGGGATGTTGAGTGTCAGTGAACACAGGAGGTTGATGCATATATACTTCATCATAAAGGTCTCCGTGTAAAAATGCATTCGATATGTCAAATTGAAGTGTTGTCTAGCCCTTATGAAGAGCAACTAGAAGCAAAATGTGTATTGTTGGAATTTTGGCCACTGGACTAAAGGTCTCAGTGTAATTGATGTTGAACTCCTCAGTGAAGCCTTGTGCAACCACTTTGTCTTTGTTCGTTTAATTTTACCATTTGGTGCATGTTTAACTTTGAAGATCCACCTGCAGCCAAGAATATTAGCATGGAAGGGAGGTGGTATGAGGGACCAAGTGGCTTGATTTTATAGAGTTAGAAATTATGCAGACATTGCATCCCGCCAGTGTTTGAATTTAATAGCTTGATGGTAAGTATTGGGAACAGATTCTGAATTCGGGTTGGTGAAGAGGTCAAAATTTGGTTTGGGGCGGTGAATGCCCATTTTGAGTCTTGTTTGCATGGGATGAGTAGAGGTTTTTGTAGGTGATTGAGGTGTTGGTGAGAAAGTGGGAGGAGGTTATGATGATGGTGAGGTCTGGTTGGAGGGATAAGAACCTTGAAGATGATTGGGAGGAGAATGAGTTTGGGATGAAAATTCTGGAGAGGGTTTTATGGTTTGGGCATTTTGAAGTGGTGGTAGAGTAGAGATTGGAAGAAGTAAATAAGGTGTTTGTGGAGTTTCAATGTTAGAGTTGGAATGAGTTGAGGAATTGGAAAGAGAAATTGATTTGTATGGAAAAATAGTTTCATGAAAGACAGCGTGAAGGGAGATGTGAAGTTTATTGGTGGTTAGATTGACGCATCTATAGCCTTTATGTGAAGATGAGTATCCTAGGAAGATATATTTGTGAGAGCATGGGGAAAGTTTGTTTAGGGCAATTGGTTGGAGCCATGGAAAACATAGGCATCTAAATGTTTCAAGTGAGAAAAATTTTGTGGTTGATTGTGGAGGAGCTGAAAAGGTATTTGGGAGGCAGTGGCTTTGCTAGGTATTCTATTGATGAGGTAATTGGAGGTAAGCAAGGCTTCTTCCCAGAAGTTAGAGGGGAGAGAGGCTTCGAAGAGAAGAGCTCGAGTGGTGTCAAGTAGATGGCGATGTTTATGTTCAACAAAACCATTCTGCTATGGGGCGTAGGGACAACTTAGTTGGTGGGTGATTCCTTTTTGAAGGAGATATTGTCGAAAGGCTTGGTTGGTGTATTCACCACCACCATCTGAGCGAAAAATTTGTATTTTAGAGTTAAATTTGGTGGTGATGAGATTATGAAATTGCTGCAATTTTTGGAAGTTTTAGGATTTGTTTTGCATTAAGAACAACCAGGTATAGTGAGTATGATCATCTATAAAAAAACATAATAACGAAACCCATTTATAAATGAAACAAGAGCATGAACCCAAACATCTGAATGTACTAACATGAAAGGTTTGGATACACGAGAGTGAGTAGACGAAAAAGATAACTTATGGCTCTTGGCCATGTTACAGGACTTGCAAAGAAAATTAGAATATGGATTACATATAGACGAAACTGTTTGTGCTAGGAGTTATTGAGTCCTAATGTTGGGTGGTCGAGTCTAGCATGCCAGGTATTTGAATTGACTAAAGTTGAATGAAGAGCTTTGGGATTGTTCTCGAATGGAGTGGGAATGGAGTAGAGGTCACACGACAGTGTCCACGGATGAGGATACTATTATCTTGCAGGTCCTTGATATAGAAGCCATGAGAGTCAAAGGAGATAAAACAATTGTTGTCAGTAGTTAGCTTATGGATAGATAATAAATTGTGAGAAAGAAGGGGTACATGAAGTAAGTGGAGGAGTTTAAGCTTACGAGTGGAATCTGGGAGGGGAAGGATTCCTTGGCCGGTGTGATGAATTGGAAGTGAGCTGCCACTAGCGGTAGAGATTGTATCTGATTACGTATAAGGGGTTGAAAACTGAAGTTTGGATGCATCTGGTGTGAGATGGGAGGATGCCTCGAAGTCAAGTACCCATTCATTGTTAACAGTGGGTAGCTGACTGGTCAGAAAAGCTTTGGAGGCGGAGGCTGGAGCTGTGGAGTTATAAATTGAGTGTAAAGATGCCAGTAGTTCATAGCAACGTGGTCCATTTTGCCACAAATTTGACATGTTGGACATGGTTGTTCAGACGCTGGAGGTCGGCTGGTGCTGCTTGAGTTAGGTCTAAAGGAAGCTCCACATCCTTGTGATCCTATGTAGTTGGCACGACCTCTTGGAGAAGCTGAGCTGTTTGAATAAAGAGCGGTATGTTGTAATTGGGGATTGGTATCCCGCTGAAGCTCGGCTTGTTGATGAATCTCCTCACTACAAAGGAGTGAGTAGATGGCATCTAGATTGATAGGTAGCTGACTGGTGTGGATAGCAGTTTTGAAGGGATTGTAGGATGGCGACAACCCATTCAAAATGTGAAGTATAATATCCTCATAGTCAATATGCGAGCCGACAGCTATAATATTATCAACAAATATCTAATCACATAAAATAACTAAATATTTAATAACATATGTATTCCATCTAAGCTGAATAATTACTAGTTTATAATCACTTATACTAACATTACTAAAGATACAACCGTGGAAATAAATTTGAAGATCTTCACCTTTGTTTTGCCCTTCTTCGCCACTAAAGTGATTTCTCTCATGCATTCAAGTTTTGTTTGGGATAACTTTCTCATATATTTCTAAAGCAGTTTTTAAGTATAAAAATTTTTTGAATAAGAAATTTTTGTACTAAAAAGCTGTTTTAGAAAGCAATTGAAGTTTTGGTTGGGGTTGATCGACTAGAGCAAGTCTTTGGATTAATGTTGGAAAAGATAGGTTGTGCTATGAGAAATTGCAATATTCATGCTTATGATGCCTTATATGAAGAAATTAGGGACAACAAGAAATAAAAATAAGATTATTATTAGTAATTATTTATGATTCATGAATCATCTTGAAGAAAAGTTTCAAAAAAAGATGCTATAAATAAATCCAAAATCATAAACATGAATCTCCCAAATTCTTAACATTTGGGGGATGGATGCTTCTACGACAAAAGAGGAAAAAAAAGGAAGAGATTAATAGGTCCATAAATAGATATGGTCATCAATAGATTTTTCGCTCGAAAGTCAATTAGCTATGTCTGGCAAAAAAATAGTAATAATCCCGTCAAAATTTTATTGTTGGTGATCCAACTAATATAATGCCTACTACTAATAAATTAGGCTTTAGCAGCACTTTTTAGGTCATGTTGTACTTGTTTAAACACATACTAATATATTTGCGACGGTTATTGGAAAGGCTTTAGCAACGGTTTTAAAAGTGCTATTGTAAGAAAGCTTCAGCAGCGCTTTTATTAGGTGTTAAAACTGCTGTGAAAGGGTAGAATAGATTAAAATATATATAATGGAAAAAAAATTGTGAACCAATTAAAAATATCAATAAAATATTATATAAATATAAATTGAGTGAATATTAACAACATAAGAATCTACAATTACTTTAGAAACAAGTAACATAAATGTATAAAATAGTATCAGTGACAAAGAGAAGATTTACATATGTACTTATTCCAATAATCTGAAGAAATCCAACTATTATATATCTTCATGATATTGTAAGAAACTCAAATGTTTCCTCGTCCAAAACTCCCAAAAAACGTTTTCTGGCACCCATGCAACCATGCAATATGAAAAAAAAAGCTACAAAAAATTCATTTAGAAATTAACATGTAACAAAGAAATAGTAATGCCAATAGTTTCCAACATAGAGTAGTATATAATATCAGGAGTATAATGTATAGACAATGGAATTAACATCTAAATCAAGGTTTTGAAAATCGGAACGGATAAACGAACCGGAAGAAGGAGAGATTCACGGCTCGACCGGTTGAACCGGGGTCAAACCAGATGACATAATAAATAATAATATTGTTAAAATTTATAAAATAAATGAGAAATTTTCCTCTAATAACTTCACTCTACATTCCATTTTCATATTAAACTAATCAAATAACATAAATATTGTATCAATTAAATTTATAAAACATAAAAAATAACACACAATATAATTGTGACATCAAATAAGTCAATAACATGTAATCAAATATTTCATAAATAAGTAAATAATGCAGCTAACGAGAAACTTTGAGAAATGCATACCTTTTGTCGAGCTCTATTAAGTATTGGGTGTTGAGAAATGCAGATCATCTTCAGTTCTCTTTCTCTAAAATGTATAAAAGAAATTTTTTAGATCTTATAGTTTTTAAGATGAAGGCTTACAGTCATGCAGACGGCAGAGGGTTCGTTTGGGACGACGTCACTGTTGCTTTACTTT